CTGAGGAAGGAAGGAAGCAGGATGGAGCCAGGAGACCTGGAGGAGGCGCATGGAGCCTAGAGACACGTGAAGAAACTGCGCTTGTCTTTTGGTCGTGGACTGGGTGACACAGATGTGGGTGAGACCCGTGGGGAGGTGACCATGGCAGCTTTTATCTGGATGTTGATTTTGCTCTTTTCCTTCCGGGCTTGTCCGGTTGTTTCTGACCCTTTTCTGTGGGTCCCCACTGGAAGATGCTTTAGACTTGTGGCAGGCTTTGGGGCCTTGCTCTGGGCCAATCCCATTTGGATGGACTTTTACCCACGAGGGGACGGGTAACTTTGGGTGCTTGATTTAGAAACTAGACTTGTAACAGGGTGGTCCCCAGGAAAGGGGCTTTGCCTTACTTGTATTGTTTCCTAGTTTTATTAAAGTTCCTTCCCATTGAAGTCTCCTATGTTTTGTGTTGATGCAGCAGATGGCAGAACCCATTTAGAATAGGCAGGTTTGCGGGGTTTGGGCTGCCCCTCTCCCTGTCCTATAACAGATTGAAGGTGACAAGATCTACTTCATGGGCCTGTGATGAGAATTACCCAAAAATTTTATGTAAAGCTCTTAGCATAGAGTCAGTCTATTGTCAATGGTCCATGAATGTTATATATCAGCTCTTGCTATGTAACCACTGCTTCCCCAAAACTCAATGGCTTAAAATAAGAACTATTTGTCTTATGGAGGGCCAAGCAGGCCTGAAGGAGATGAACTCTCTCTCCAAAGTGAAAGGTCCACGCAGCAGGCCAGAATGCAAAAGCCTACCCGGAAGCCCACCTGGAGGCAGTAATGCAGATACCTGCCTGGAGGACTCAGACAATGAGCCTCCCCTCTCCCCCTACCAGTCTCTTCTCAGACAAAGAACCTCTACATGCCCCACGAAACCACCCCCCCCTGCCCCCCCCCCCGCCCCAGCCCAACAAACTTTTTCCCTCGCCATAGGAGCCCAGTTTCCCACCTGACCTCTCCTCACCCTATAAAACCCTGCTTCCCCCTAACAACGTGCTTGGCTTCACTGACCCCCACCTTGGGTGCGTGAGGTCCGCCCGGGGCGCAATAAACTTTCCCTCCCTTTGAGAAATTTAGCCTGGCTCTCCTTTTCTTTACTGCGCCGAATCTTTCACAAAGGACCTGTAAGCCAGGTAAGCAGCAGAAACACACACACACACACACACACACACACACACACACGCACACACAGCTCACAAGTCACTGCAGGAGTTGGTCAGTGTGGATGAGGGTCGCTGAGGAGCATGTGTCAGGCTGCATGACTTGGGACAAGTTCCTTCTCTTGCTGTGCCTCAGTTTCTATAAAGGATGGTGTTGATCAGACAATCTTGAAGATTTCTTTTAGACAGGATTTCTCTTGGATTAACTTAACAATACCTACTGACTTTAATCAAAGGTCAGTAACAATACTTACTGTTAACAATACCTACTGGCTTAATCAAATAGAGAGTTGTTTTCTCCAAATTCAGGGTGGGGTAGGTCAAGACTGTGAGAGCATAAGAAACATAACTTCCTGGGCCTCCCTGGTGGGCTCTAGTCTCAGCAGTCTCATTTTATCACCGCTGCAGCCTGAGTCCAATCCCCACCCAGGGAGCTAACGCACATGGTGCAGCAGACCTCCCCTGTCTTGCCCCGTGCTCCCCTCAGCAGTGAATTTCAGTCGATCTGCCTGTTCTGCTCCCCACTCTGTCTCTGGTGAATCCCCTCACTCCCTGCACCTCTGGTCTGCACCCCAGTTCTTGTATGCATAAATAAATCATTTAAAAAAAAAAGAAACATACCTTCCTGTCCTCTGCTCAGCCCCCTCACTCTATAGGGGTCTAGAGTGCTGGCTGGTTGTCTCTGGATCCCAAGAGGGTACTGTGCCTCCAGGTCACATCTTTGTTCTAGGCAGGTAAAAGGAAAGCACAGAAAGAGGATGAAGCAGTGGCATCTGTCCCTATTTTCAAGGAAACTGAGGGCTTTCCTAGAAGCCTCCTCTAGATGATTTATGCTCATGTCTAATTAGCAGAACTGTCTCCTCAGCTGCTGAACAGGAAGGTGTGATGGGAGCTGGGTCAGCCTACCCTGGTGTTAAGCCCACCCTTGTGTTGGCTGCAAGCACCCACCACAGAATCATATGGTCCTGAGGAGCACCCTTGGGCCCTTGTACCCCCAGGGAGTTCTGGCCAGCCATGCAAAGAAGTCATCTGTGCTACATTTCCCATGCCACGCCACGGGACTATAAACTCCACAAAAACTCACACATCAAACCCACTTGGCTCTTCAGGACCTAGTTCAAGGCCTGACACACAACAACTGCAGGGCAAACATTTATGAATGAACAAATTACCCATCAACACGTATGGATCTCAATGGACTGGGGCACTCAGGGAATGAGGGATCTGGATAATTGGATTTCCTGGCAGCCTGAGGGGCAAGCGGAAAAGCTTATGATTTCAAATTAATTCCAGCAACACGGAGTGCCTTCCACACCCAAGGCTCCAAGGTAAAAAGAAAAAAAGCACATATTATATATGTGGGCCGCCAGGGTGTCGGCAGGAAAGATGATACAGTCGGGGTAACTGAGGGGGGCTTATATTTAAACTATTGCCTGAAGTTAATAACAACCATCTCCTTCAGATGGGGCATTTGCTCTTGTTTTTGCCACAGACTCCACCATTCCCAACACTGAGCCTGAGAATCAGTTGCCATTCTTGTCTGCTGTACCATTGGTTCCCTTTGAAACTCAGTCCACTCCCCTTATTTATAATGCCTTGTGGCTCAGAAGGTGTTTGGATTGTGTCTTCAAGTGCCTACCTATCTCATTGTTGGTACAAAATCATCTGTTGGGGTGGGAGAAGCAAATGTGGGTTCTTCTACTTATATGTACGATCTCATCCACTTTTAATGTTTATTTTCATGCTTTATAATTTGCTTAATTTATTAATACAGTAGTCATGGCCTTATTTTAGAAACAAATTACATGTACACACCAGGGATATTTGCTCAGGACACTTTTTCTGACAGCATTCTGAGATAGAAGTTTAAAGGTCACCGCTCTTAATCACTAACTTACATCTGTCTAGAAGGTGTTGTGAATATCCCTTGGATTTTCTAGGCCTAGATTTTTTTTTCATCTGAAAATGGAGATATTGATATTGTTTACCTCTTTTTTTAAGATTTATTTTATTTATGCATGCATGCATACAAGAACTGGAGTGTAGAAGACAGGTTTGGGGGTGGAGGGAGAGAGGATTCACCAGAGACAGAGTGGGGAGCAGAAAAGGCAGATCTACTGCTGAGGGGAGCAGCAAGCAAGGCAGACATATCTGCTGTGCCATCCGTGGGTTAGCTCCCTGCCCGGGGATCGAACGTACCGCCGTGGCTGGTGATAGGTTCAGAGCGCTTTAACCCCTGTGCCACCAGGGAGGCCCTTGATATTGTCTACCTTGAAAAGTCATGTCAACATTCCAAACACCTGGCAAACAGTGCCAAACTGGGCAGTAACACCAGAAAGACACCCCGGGGGAAGACACAGGAACAGCCAGTGAGGTGGTTGCTTATGTTCATGTTGACCTGGAAGGTTCCCTGTTGGGTTTGAGCCATAAAGTCTCAACTACGGGCTGACCTGGTCAGCCCCCTGCACAGCAACTAGGATTGATTTTCAGGTTCATTAGTGCTGTTGATGTGCTCCCGGGAAGGCAACAGCTCTGCCCTCATTAAAGATAAGCAGCTGCCCCATTTCTGTTCACCTTCTCTCACCTCCAGCCTCTCCTGGTGTCCCAGGGAGAACTCACCCTATCGATTCAACCCCACGGTCGCCCTTGTCCTTGAATTCATCCTGGCTTAGGGTCAGGATTTAGCAGAAGACAGCCACACAGGCGTGGGGTCCGCGGGGCGCTCCCCTTGGCATGGTCCTGACCAAGTGCCCTCCTGCCTGACGAGAAGTGATGACCCTGGGGGAGGAGCCTCATAGCTTCTCCCCCGCAGCTTGGGCTGGGGTGGGCTCGGAAGGCCAGGCAGACCCTGATTTGATCGAGTGTCTGGCAGAGGCTGCTCCAAGTAATCACTTCTCTGCTAGTTACAGAGGCTGATGGCAGAATTGGTGAGATCCCTCTGGCAGGAAGAGGTAGAGTCAGCCAGGACTACGGCCTGCTAAGGAGCGGTGCAGGGACACCAAATGTCCTGGTTTGCCTGCGACTGAGAGGTTTCCAAGCTGTAACACCTCCAGTGCTAAAAATGGAACCATGAGGGCCTCTCTGGTGGCACAAGGGGTTAAGTCTCAGCACCATGAAGCTATCTGCAGCCACTGCAGCACGAGTTCAATCACCAGCCAAGGAGCTACCCACATGGCACGGCAGACCTCTCCTGACTCACCCACTGCTCCCCTCAGCAGTGCATTTCAGTAGATCTGCCTGTTCTGCTCCCCACTCTGTCTCTGGCGAATCCTCTCACTGCCCCCTGCACCTCTAGCTTACATCCCAGCTCTTATATGCATAGATAAAATCAATCTTAAAAAAATTAATTAAAAAAAAGGAACCATTGAGGGCAAGCCAGGGTGGTCAGACAGAGCTCAGCTCCCAGCCATCCTTCTCCAAACCGCAGCTAGCCGGGCCGCGAGCGGTAGGTGAGACGGGGCACGTCACTGTGCCTGTGACCACTTGGAGGAGAAGGAGGCACCAATATAGGGTGTCTCTGCGTTGCTTCTCCCTCTGTCTTGGCCGCAGGGCTTGAGAGGGCAGGGAGGGAGGTTCCATATGCCCCGTTTGCAAGAAGAGAGGGCAGTGGGCGGGGCTCCCAGAGCTCCTGTTTATGGTGCATCTTGATGTTTATGACTTCAGCAAACTTTTGTGAAGTAGGTTTTCCTAGATGAGGGAACATCTATGAGACACAGGTGGCTCGGGCAACCCCGCCACGCCTGTGACAGGGGGGCCCACTGTAACAAAATACCAGGCCGGGGGCGTCGGCACGGGCACCCCACCCGTTTGCTCACAGTCGGCAGCTGGAAGGCAGAGGCCAGGGCCAGCCTGGCTGGGCACCGCTTTCAGGTGGCAGATTTTCTGTTCTAGCATCACATGGCAGGGACGAGGGGACTCTGAGGCTCTCTTCACTAGGAGCACTATCCCATTCTTGGTCAGCCCCACCCTCATGATGTAATGGGGGTTAGGATTTCAAGGTAGGAAACCCTGGGGGGGTGTAGTGGCAAACCAGGCAGACCGCAAGCACATAGATTCACTGTTAATGTGGGAGGATGGACAAGGAATCTTGGGGCCCTCGGTAGCTGTGACAGGCCTTCAATGCTGAAGCAGGGGAACAGATATAGGTACAGCAGCAGGCAGGCAGGCAGGCGGGGTGGGGGGGTGCTGGCAGGTAGGGGGCAGGGGCGCTGGGAGGCTGGCAACAATGGAGCCTCCCAGCCCCCATGATCTCTGCACTCTCTCTCACCTCTTTCTGGCTTTCTCTCTCCATATCTCTCTCTCTTCACCCGGGCATCCTCACTTCCAGGTCTGCAATCACAGGCATGCATGGCCTGTGCTCACACCTCTTGGTCCCGGATGTCCGTGGGTGCCCCGTGCTCACACTCCCAAGCACTTTTTGCACCAACACGATTCACGTGTTGGCAATGAAACCTGGGTGGCAAGCAAGGCCACAGGTGGCAGTCATAGACGCTCAAGGCGGGAGGCAAAAAGAGGCCGAGTCACTCCATTTTCCCTACAGGGGGACACAAACATTCAGACCACAGCAGTCTCTGCTTGAAAGTGGCAGAGTCTGCACTTGACCTCTGGTCGGCCGCTTCCATGCCTGTGCTTTTAATCACGAAGCCACACTGTCACTCCAGGAAGATGTTCTTAAAACATCAACTCATTTCAAATTATGATGATTGTAACTCAGGAGCCAGCAGGGATGGGGAGTCGGCAGGGTGGGGGGAAGCTTTGTTCACTCTTTTGTGCCTTTTGAGGATTCTCAAATTTACATTATTGCTTGGCTGGCGGCATGGCAGGGAGAGGGCACCAAACATCAGTGTCTCATATTTGCTGCTTATTAATACGTATTGGGGAGAGAAGGACCAAGCTGTTAAGTGCCACCATGTGTTGGTGACATCTATGGTGTAGGGGCAGGACATGGGCACAGTGCAGTTTTTCTATGATCCCATGCAGACCGGGTAAAGGAGGAGTCAGAGTCCTCAGTGGTTTTTTACAGGTCTTTTATTGGGATTATATGTACACAGCAGGCAGGGGTGCTGGGGGGCCGGGAGGCTGGCAGGCCTCCCAGCCCCCAGCAAGTTTCACTCTATCTGGGCTCTCCAGTGTTCTCTGCTTCTCTCTTGGCTTCTGTTCATTCTCAGCTTCTTGGCTTCTTCTGGCGTTCCTGTGACGCCAACCTTAAAAGCCCAGTCTTAGCCCAGGTGAATCCCATCTACCTATGCCCACACCCTACTCCAGGTGCCCCCATCAGGCATGCATTCAGGACCGCAAGGATCCATCATCTGTCCTGATGGCGGGAGGGCAGAAAAGCCTGACATTTTTCCTTACCCTACATGTGGGTTTCAAATTAACCATCAGAAACCTCTCTAGGCCAGAGGTGAGCTTTGGAGGATAGAAAGAATTTTCTTGGTGGATCAGGGCATTCCGAGCAGAGGAATTGGCCTGAAAAAAAGGTGGGGAGCAGGAAGAAGATGTATGGCTGGCTGGGGTGGGCACCCACTGGTTTGGCCAGTGTAGGAGGATCTTGCTCTAGCTTTTCTCTCTAGACAAGTGAGCAAGCGAGCAAACAAGGGTTGAGTGGATGAAGGGTGGCCTGCTGGAGGCAGACAGGTGGATCTGGGGTCACTAAACCTCTAAATGAGTGGAGGGGAGAAAATGAAGAGAGATTCTAGAGAACCAGAGATGCTTGGAGTAGTGGGTCAAGATCATAGTGCTGTCTGTAACGTTCTTCCAAACCCTTATTTCGTGACTAGCACCTGAGTTTTAGCAGTGAACCCAATTAGTATATGCAGATTGATTTCTAATGATGTACACCTGAAAGCTATATAATGCTCTCACACAATGTTACTTTAATGGAAAGTTATATTTAAAAAGTCTGTAACATTTCTCCCCAATCATCCAAGGTGTAACAATATTCCTCTCCACTTAGTCCTCATAGGCACCCCACTTTTTATGGGAAAGTTAGGAGTCCTTCCTGTTACCTCCTTGTGCCATCTGGAGGGTTTATGTAGGTAAGGCCATAGTAGTTGTGAACTTGGGGAGGGCCAGGCTACCTGGGAACACATCTCGGCTCTAGCCCTTGCTACCTGTGTGAATGTGGGCAGGCGAGACTTTCAGGCTTGTTTCTACATCTGGAGAAATAACAGCACCTCATTCTTTGGGTTGTTAGGATTGTTGAAAAATAATCCAGTTTCCTGGGTCTGGCACGGGAGGCCTATTGACAATAGGGAGGACCTGTGCATCCTGGAGGGTGGGGGCTGGCCTCTGCCTGCCGTCTCACCAAAGAGCAGAAGGCCGAAGAGGCCTGAGTGGAGGAGAGGAAGGTGGGCTCAGCGAAGAGCAGGCATCTGCCGGTTACAGAGATTACAGTATTACTGCATTCCGCACGGCAGCAAGACATAAATAGATACCAATAAGTAAAATTAGGTTAACTGCTGAAAAAAGTACAGTTCATAATAGTGTTGCATTTAGAAATGTTTGCCCATGTGAGAGTCCTTCACTGCCACGGACTTTATTGCAGCGTTAGCTAAATGGCAAATGGCCAGCAGCAGTACTTGTGCGATCCCACGCAACTCTCTTCACCGTTCTGAGCCTCAATTTCCTCGACTATAAAATGAAACTAATGATATCTTTCTTGCAAAAAGGGACCAGATGCGGTCGTGTGTGTGAAAGGACTTTGAGAACCAGGAAGCACAACTCTTTCCTAAGGTGCTTCATCATTATTATAACTAATAATCACCCACAATAAAAATACATTCAAGGAAAACATAGGCTTGAGCTGATTGTTTGAAACACTTCTCTTAAAAACGACCCAGAAATGCTAAACCCATGCTTTGCTTTACACTGACGTCTGTAAGTGGGAGATATTTAATTGTCTTTTTTAGAGAGAGTTGTTTTGGTGAACATTACCTTCAGACCTCGTGGCATCTTCTTTAGGGACTGAACAGCAAGTGAATTGTTTCAGACAGAAATATGGATGGTCCAAGCGCCTGGATGAATGTAGCTCCCTTTAGGGATGTATTTTCTGGATAAACATGAAAACAGAACTAAACCAAGCATTTTGTTGTGTGCATAAAGAAAATGGATACCCCAAAGGCGGAACTGTTTATAATATTACTACTGACACGGATACACTATTTATACCCACAAGTTCTGCTACCTCTAACCACGGTGTTAGCTCCTCACTGAAGTTCACTGACATAGCAGGAATGATGGAGCCAGACCTCCTGGGTTAAAAGCAACTAATGTCAGACCCCTGCTGGCCGCGTCTGGCACTGCAGGGGCAAGTCACCCAGTTCCTATTAGTGGGGAAATTGGCTCCAGGGGTGACAGAACTCAGAGGCTGAAGTTTGTCTTGCCTCACTACATCTAGGTGTCAATAGTCATCAAAAGGTGTGCTGAAATGGGGGCAAGAAGAAAGACTGAGCTCAGTGGAGAACATGACTCTCCAGGGACAACGGGACAATAATCTCCCTTAGGGCAGTTTGGGGCTTGCTGGGCTGTCCCACAGGCTCACTCTGTTGCTACTACAATGTTGTAAAGCATCTGTTTTTCAATCTGCTTTCAGGATTGGTGCAGGCTGCAGCCTCTAGGAGGGGAGAGGTTTTCTCCCCAGCTTTTTAATTCTGCCTCACAAAAGCAAGGAGGAGGGACTCTGAAATCTCAAGGTCAAAATGCAGTACTGGAGGACACACATCTTGGGGCCACTCTCATAGGAAGTGGATTTTTGCAGTTGTGAGAAGTCCCCAGAATGTGTTTTACCTTCTTGTGGTGTGTGCTCTCTCCTCTTTCAATAAATTGAAATAAATGAATTAAATAAATCATAGATTCCCTGCCCCTATAGGAAACTGGGGTCCAGGAAAAAGGAAGATACGGAAGGGTATGGGGTAGAGATGACCCAAACAAAACAAGAACCTCAGACTAAGAGAGCATAGCTCTTGCTTTGGAGAGTCTTGGAGGATCTTGATTGCTACTCCTGGATGGTAGAAATCAGAGACAGCAGAGTGAGGAGTGCATTGTGGAGGAGCAGAGGGTGGAGGGTGGTCAAGTGGCTGAAGGGATAGGCACCACTGCCAACCCTGTGTTTTTGGCTTCGGTGATTTGGGAAACCCCAGTGACGAGACCAAGGGGTTAGGGCTGGGGAGCCCCGAAGGATGAAAACAGTCATTCCACTTTCTCTACTTGAACGTGAACTTGAAGATAAACTTTTCTTCTTCCTCCTATGGTAGAAAGCTTGGAGGAAGGTTTCCAGTGACCAAAAGTCAGGATCTTCTCTCATTGGGCCCACCCCAAAGGTGCCATGACCTGAAAGTCACAGGCAGGAGAAGGGTTGTGCCAGGAAGAGGCTATCCCTTAGCCAACATCCTTGACTCTTTCCCCTGCAGGTTTTGTGCCCCTTCAGTTTGGCTCCCGGGATGCAAATCCACTCTTCCCAGTAAAACAAAATCACCATCTCATTAGCATCCCAGAGAATGTTCCATGATTGCAGGAAGGAAAGTTGTGATTGCCAATCTAGACACAGAGGCTACAGTGATTTTCAAAAGCTTTGTCAGCTGTGCTGAGTGGGCAGTGAGAAACCCCTGATTTTCTGTAGGGTGTTCTTCCAGGGACAGATGCTGGTCCCTGTGGATGGATACTGAGATCATGACCACATTTTTGCCATTAAAAACAATGTTTTATAAACATTCATATACAAACAGCTTTGTACATGTGATCTATTTTCTTTCAGATAGAGATTTCTAGCAATGGCTATCATCAAATTTTCTTTCAAAAATCCTAGTTTTGTACTTTGATCCATTGATAATAATCATGCTGATATTGATGATAACTTTCATTTTTAAAACAAAATTTTAGGGCCTCCCCGGTGGCGCAGCGGTTGAGCGCTGGGTTGCGAAGCTGCCCGCAGCCTCTGCAGCACCGGTTCGATCCCTGGCCACCAGGTGAGGGTCCCACATGGCGTGCAGATCTCTCC